GATTGTTTTATATATCAAGTATAGTCATGCCGAGCGCCAAGCTCTCAACTCTACGATACAAGGATCTGCAGCCGACATTGTTAAACTCGCAATGACTGCTGTCCAGACAGCTGTGAAAAAAGGTGTGCTCGAGTTCCGCATCATATGATGTGTGTATGTAGCTCATTCCTGGTTGAATACTACGTATGAGAGGTGGATATGTGATCAAGGGTTTCAATTGTCTGTTGCGTGTGTGCATACCCTTACTGCGTTGGTTCTTATCTGGCCGCTATTGCTCTGTGTTTACTTGCAGAGCAAAGCCATCGGTTGAGCAAATATGTATTGCTGTGGGTTGATATTCTCACACTTCATATCAACAACAATGGAATCAACCTATATTTCCTAAAACACATTGCTATCGAGTTTTAGAAGTACTGAAAATGCGCTCGTTTCTTCCTTACGCCCCATAACGTACGCAAGTGCGACATTCCATACCGTCCAGGCGATGTATCACAGCTGAGCACGTGTCACATGACTACTATCGATAGAGACATCACAATCCAATTCATTATTAGCTGATCACTTAGTCAGCTTTGAACTTCCGTAGCAGTGACGAATTGAGCTGCTGCCAAGTACGTTATATTTATAAATCCTATACTAGTCGAATGTCGAAGTAGAAATTGAGATACCTGAGAGTTGCTCTATTGGGACAAGAGCATTCTTGTTCTGGTATAAGTAATGACCATATCTATACTCTTCTACTTCCAATACGTGATTAAAAATATTTTGGCATGCTCTGCAGTACATACATGACGAATACCGACGAGTTGGCTGAAATAGAACAAAAACATTCTGTAAAGCGGCAGTCCGCTAAAAAATATTCGTCTTCACAAATTTTACCTACACTGAAATCCACATCTGTACTACAGGTTGGCAGCTGGGTAATCGTCCTTCGCTGATAATGCAGATACACGACGAGCTAATCTACGAAACACCGGTGCTAGAGGCATGTCAATATTGTGAGTTCAGGGCCGTGAAATTATTTGTAGACTATACTGGGGTGGCATGTCTGACGTATCTTGTAGCTGTCGTCGGCATATCACTACATACAGTCTCCAGCAACCAGACTCTCGCCCGAATTCCGAAATATATCTAGCTACTTTCTACTGCACATGAAACTGATCATATGGCACAATAGATACATGTGTGCCGCATCATGTACATCACGAAACACAGACCACGGTCTGTCCCAATCAAATTAAATGATGTTGTGTCACACTGTTCTAATTAGGCTGAGAGATTCAGAATATGCCTACGCGGGGAAATGGAGAAGATGGAGAAAGTCTACCAATTTTCAGTCGCATTACTGGTCAAGATATCAACGGGATCTACATGGGGATCATTGAGCAGAATACAATAAAAATATACTTTATGTGCTAGCCACCAAGAGCTTTTCAATTTTACCTCAGAGTTTTTGCAAACGTTTTCATCGCAACAACACAGCAGGCTGTCTGCTGGGGAATGAATGGATAATCGTGGCTAGCATAGTAAAATTTATTGTCGGATGACATTGCTTGAATTGAATTTCGGCTCGTCCTACCGCTATTGGGAAATAATCCAATGTGATTTGTAGACTCTGATAGATGTGAAGACGGGAGACCGACCACTGGCGCAACTGGACAACTCTCCTATCATCGCAGACTTTCTTCTACCATTCGAATTATTCATGAGCAATCATGTCCTGGCACACAATGTTCAGAAATGGCATTCAATCTACCATCATTCTGTGATGTTTCATATCTCGAAAAGTGTGATTGGTTGTAAACATTGTTGTAGGAATCATGTGCCAAAACTATCGACTCCCCATGTGTTTCGTTATTGGTTTAATAATGACGAATTCCTTATCGTTATCAAACTAGGAACATTGAATGTTTCCTAGTCGGATTCAATGTCGTATATGGTACAGCTACCCAATGTATCGAATGGCGGTGAAGTTCGTGACCAGTAGCGCCGATTTGCTCCGCTCCTAAATCTGATCGCGTTAGGGATTTACGTCAGTAGGAATCACATCCTATCATTTAGCCATAATCGTGAATGAATCTTTTATATTTTCGACAGTGTGATATTTTTCATCAGTCTTGATATGACTATCATATGCTCTCCTAGCAGGTTTTAAGTAAATCACGTGTATACTATATCATACCTTGATCTCGACAAAAATAGATTCAAGTAAGACTAGTCTGGGTCGACAGTCCTTCATTTCGAGCACAGCTCATTGTCGCTCTAAGCGAGCTCGACGGCTAGCTGACCTTCGAAAGTACCGTGCAAATTTCGTCAGTTTCGTTGATATGTATCTATGACCAGATTCCCAACCAAAATGTAAGTTAACCGACATGAAGTTGAATCGGCATGATTCAATCGACATGAAGGTGGTCTCACCGAACGCTTCAATTCAGCGAACTTTCTAAATTCGAAATTGCGCAATTGTGTTGGTTCGGTAAAAGCAATTCACTGTCACGTGGAGGGATTGGTCGGATTTTTGTCGATCTACTGCAAAAGTACGGAACACCATCACAAACCTCGACGCACATCATTCATACTTGGGACGCACACCTTGATTTTTTAACCTATAATCATGTTTCGAAATTTGGTCGGCTGGGGTGTCACATTATTGCCCTTTTTATATGTTAGTATGGTGACGTGAGGGAAGTTGACAAGCTGCCAAGGCCCGCATGTCAATCCTGCGCAATAAAATTTGAATTACAATGGTACTTGCACGCAGAAGTCATATTCAATAATGATAGACTAGTAGACGTTTGCCTTGCGAAGGGGTTCATATAGAAATGATTTTCGGTTTCTATGTTACATTGCGCTCATCATAAGTATCAAATACGACCCATATGTTTTCAGGAGTGCCCCACTTACCCATACACCGGGCGAAGATCGAGGGGCTCGATTAATTTTCCGCTGTATTTATATCTCAAAGACAACATGTAAAAATACTGTAAACTATTCTCCGACGCGTGTTGTCTAAGCCAGAGTAAATGAACAAACAATGTGAATTTGATGTAATAAATAATACTGAATTTGTGCAAGGTTGGGTGCCAGAATCGCTTTTTGAGAAGTTTCATTAATTTTACCGTGTTTAGGTTGCTTCTATAGGTAACGAGGAAAACATTCAATTCGTATCTTATTTACCCCATTTTGTTTCAACATCCTTGTTATAGAATCCCAAAACACTTAGGTTGACTACTCTACAATTTTCGCAATTTTTTCTAATTAGTTATTGTGAATTCTTGCATGTAAAATAACAGCTTCAATATACGCTTTGGAAACCTCTTTCGCCTTCAATATTTCATGATCAGTCACTCAGATTGAGCTATCGTATCTTCTATAGATGGTATTGTATTAGGTAGGTGCCGTAGCTTTAGAATGGGAATATGTCAGTCTCCGTGACATGTTTTCCTACTCGAAATCTATAGAGAAGTGGAAATTGGATGCACGCTATCACAGCCGTGCGCGCAATCACGTTAAATAAATTGAAGAGAAAAAACTTTAATATAAAGCAACACTGAATTTGTGTACGCAAAAGTTTTTGGATGCCATAAATCACTTTTTGAGAAATTTTCTTAATTTTGTCGAGTTTAAGTTGCTTCTATAATTATCATACGAGGAAAACATTCAATTCGTATCTTACCATAACCTTTTGAATAGTTCCAGAAGGCTATGATCATACTTACACCGTTTTGTGCTATCATTCTTATTTATATAGAATGAACGCTTTGGTTGGTTCGATGCTTATTGCACCAACAAATTTCATCAACTTTTCCATTTAGTTATTCTAGATTCTTGCATGTGAAACAACAGTCTCCATATACGCTTTGTGAACCTCTCCCGCCTTCAACATTTTCTACAGAGCTTACTCTGAAATATGTTGAAGACAAACTCGGTAAACGAGCCTGATTACTAATAATTATGCGGGAGTATGCTCACTTAGCTATCTCATCAAGATGATTAAGGGAGCAAACTTTCAGCAGAATCATTTTTGGTTTTCAGACTCGTTCACCGAGCTCGTCTTATGTATATCAGACAAGATAGTAATGGCATACTATCTCATCTTATTTCCTTCTCGTTATTGACACAACCGTGGTTGATACAAACCGTGAAGTGGGATCATACCACATAAACCGCTCTAACCATTCGCATCTAGAATGGCCGAAGAACAGCAAGCCCAAAATCTTAACCAACGGCGACTTCAGCAACTTTTGAACAAGAAAGTTTCAACCGCACTGGCTATATCGCACCAACAGAGGGCCCAACGGGGCTATGTTCAGTTAAGCCACCATTGGGGCGAATTTCAAACCTTGAATTTGTGAACGCACTGCAAGACAGCGTGAGACCAGCTGAGGAAGGCATATCGACTGGCATCGCAAAGAGAATCGCCAATCTGGAATTTATCGAGAAAGTTACTTTCTCCAAAGGACCAAAGACACGTCCGTGCACAGTCAATAGTTTTTACGAAGGAGAAAAGGAGCCGGTGCAAGACGAACTCGTACGAATTAAAAATTGGTACAATCTCGGTATACACCAAATCAAGCAGATCCAACAGAACGTGCATACCGACGAGTTACGGCAAACAGCACTGATTGGTCTCGTTGTCGATCTACTACACGATTTCAAGCTCACACTAGAACTCATGAAAATATGAGTTAGCAAGGGAGGAGACTTTGCCTCATTGCTAAAACATCAAACGTACAACTTTAACCAGTTTAATCCATTGCTGCAAAAACTCTACGACAACCAGATAAAGAAGCAGTGCGAATTGGCTATAGTTCATTCATATAAAACAGGGAAAGTCAATAAGGACAGAGCCGCCCGCGAGAAAGCCACCCGTGAAAAGGAGGCTCAGGAAAAAGCAGGTAAAGCCTAAGGCTAATTAAATAAGTCATAACAACACTTATTTATCCCACAAAATCTCCAAACGACGCCCTATTTCTTCGAGTACGAGGACGTCTAAAAACATGGAGAGCCCTGGAGACGAATCGGAAGATATGCGACGCGATACGATATGGAGTGAGACCAGGATGGGGGAAGTAGGGACCACCGAAGCGATCCGACCGCGGACGCTGGATCTTGACGCCGGAAGTAAGGGCGGAGATGGAGGGAACCGTGCTACTACGACTGAAACGTCAGTGTGTCATCCGGAGATGCGCAGAAGCCGAAGTATATCTAACCCAGAAGGCATTTACGATCCCGAAGTCGGATGGGATCCGAGCAAGGTTGATACTCAATCCGAAATTGATCAACGACACTGCAGTTTAACGCAAATTTCGAATGGAAGGTCTGGATCAGACTTCAAAGATTGCACGACCCACCGATCATAGTAGCACAGCCCCAACTTTGGCAATTTTGGGATCGCAAGGGGCAGCTATGGTGCTTGAGTACTTCCATCAGCTGATGAACACCGTTCGCCGAGTCTGCCGATCGAAAGGGATCCGAATTTTGTTATACGCAGACGACCTGTTGCTATTTGCGACACTGTTTCTTATACAGACACATCGCGACTTTATCAATCGGTTCAACAAGGCTTCGGGTTTGGAACTAGCAGATGAAATAGGGGAGTGGGAGACTCCAGCTCAATGTTTAGATCACCTGAGAGTAATCATAAATCTGTTGGAAAATCGGATACAGGTGACAACCTCTTTTAGTCAGAAGATAGCTAGGACGACGACCTTGGTCTATTCCGTCACCTTCCGCGAAAGATTCCTCTCAAGCTATGGAGATCGTACCTGGGTATGCTTCTGTGGGCGGCATTCGCAGTCTCAAACATCCGACCATTTTTTGGCAGAAGTACAATCGGGAGTACAACTTACTCATCCGAAGGTAAGGTTATCAGGCTCTCTTTTCAAAAACAAATAGTGAAACTGAAACTCTCTTGACAACCTTCGACAGCCGAGCAATCTAGCTCCAGGAACCAAATGCCGAACTGACGAGAGATGTTTCGAAAATTGGATATGGAGCGACTCTTTACTCGGAGGGTCAAACGCATACCTTCGCGGGCCGCTGGAATCAAAGAGAAACAAAATGGCCGATTTCCGTTCTGGAGCTACGAACACTAGCTATGGCAATGTATACAGGAAGAAACTACTCTTTTAGTGATGCCAGACTCCTCGACCGCGATGCACGGCCTCAGTAAACGGAGGAGCCCCTCGCGTCTGATGAATTCTCAGCTTCAAAATCTCGCATTGTTATGTCACAACAAACAAATTAATTGGCCAACAACACTAGAGTATTTGCCGGGGAAGCTCAATCTGACAGCAGACGCACTCAGTCGAAGGGGAAATCTGCTGAGATTCTCGTGGACAGTCAAGGCATCCGAGATATTGAAAATATATCACATGTGGCACCTACAGACCTCGAGCTCGGAAACAGATCTATTTCCGACAGAATACTACGAGCAGAAGGCTCACCACGCGGCAGTAAAGGAATTACACGCATTTCACCATCAGTGGAACCAGAATATTCATTTGTTCACGCCTCCGGAAGTTTTAGTCGGTCAAGTAATAGAGAAGCTAGACAGGGAAGCAGTCGAGGGGATATTAATAGTCTCATTCTGGACAGCCGCGACCTGGTAGGGAAATTTGATGGCGCATGCCAAAGCCATACATTTCCTACCGGAGGGAGCTGGACATTACCCTCAACCATTGGCGAGTCAGTTGGAACGGACGGCACCACCATGGCGGTTTTTAGCAGTGTTTTACAGCCCCTCTCGGAACGCCGCTATCAGTCTCCATTCTCTGAAGGTTGTGGAGATGGACGACGCAGGGCACGTCTCAACAGCGGCGGACTTGCCCCGGGGACTATAGCGAACTATGATCGCGCGTTAAAATACTTCCGTGATTTCGTACTCTTCAACAACAAGAGTTCAAACCATTTTCAGACATAGCTAGTCTCCTTACATATGCTGAGTACTGTATGTATGAGGAAATGACTTTGAATGACTGGAAAAATACGAGATCGGTATTTAGCAAATGGTGTGAAATGAATAATACAACACACTTATCTGATGACTGGAGCCGAATCACTCGTGAGTACACCGTGGAGTGGCGTAGTACTCATAATCCGGTACTGAACCAACCCAAAGTATTGTCTAAGTGGGTGCTGGCGGTTATCAATTGTCCGGCCTTCAACATATGGCACACCGCCATTTACCTTTGGATGATTCTCTTCGGCCATAGGTGGGACACAATTGTATGTATCAAACCGGACCATGTGGTGTTGGATCCAAGCTTCAATTGAATTAACTTCACAATGGCGAAACGGAAGCGGGGCTTGACCTCAGGAGGCAGCAACTGCCCCTCTCGATTAGTGGATGAGAAGACCTTCGATCTTCGGTACAAGAATCTGATCCCGCTATTACGGCAGTAATCTCTAGAAGGCAGGATATGGGAGCTTCTGCTGCCATCGAAGCGTTGCGAGAAGATTTCGAGACAGCGTATTTCGGCGTGGCTTCGCGCAAACATGTTGTAGCTTGCAGATTCCTGCAACTAGATTGCTTCTATAGTGTGCGTCAAGGAAGGATCAGTTTTCCATTATCGATCGTCATCGACGGTTACCGCAGCCGACAGATTCCTGCAGGGACCACTTACCAACGATCGTGCGCTACTGTCGTATTCCGACCCCGTCGAAGTGTCACCCAGAGGCACTTTGGTTCCACAACGCAAGCGGTGGAAATTTCGTCCACAGCAGTGGTAGTGAGGGGTTTTCTGAGCATGACCTAAGCTTCGGTCGAGACACTGTATGTCTCGAGGTGAGAAGTAACAACATATTTTACAGAGTTTACTCTGAAATATTTTTAAGACTAACTCGGTAAAAGAGCCTGATTACCAATAATTATGCTGGAGCATGCTCACTCATCAAGATGATTAAGGGAGCAATTTTTGGTATTCAGACTCGTTCACCGAGCTCGTCTTATGTATATAAGACAAGATAGTAATGGCATACTATTTCATCTTATATCCTTCCCGTCCGCACCCGCTCACCCTTAGTAATTATCATCTTATATCCTTCATATGAGGTCGAAGCGTAAAAATGTCCCAGTATATAATATCTTTTTTATTAATAATCAATAGCGGTTTCCAAACACCGCCTGAATAATCACCTAGGGGTTTCCAAACACTGCTATACACAGGTATCGTTCGACTCTCGCAGCGATACACCATCCCTAGATATCGTCTCTAGGGCCTCACACATAGGTTGCGCTTGGCACCGGCTTCGTCGAGACGAACCTTGAGGCTAGAAACAAACCCGAAAAAGACCCTGTAACTAGCGTGGTACTTTCCAAATAACTATTAAAACAACATATCATGATCAGCCATTCAGATTGAACTGTCGTAGTTTTATAATAGATGGGTACTGTAGGTTTAGAATGGGAATATGTCAATTTCAAACGCATGAAATGCTTTCCTACCTGAGGTCTATAGAGAAGCAGCATATGTTTGAGTGCCATCACAATAGTACGCGCAGATATGTAAACTGACTTGAAGAAACAAACTTTAATAAGAAACACTAAATTTGTGTACGGAAAAGCTGTTGAAAGCCAGAAATCACTTTTGAGTTGTTTCCTTGTTTTTGTCGCGTTTAGGTTGCTTCTATAACTAGCATACGAGGAAAACCTTCGATAAGGGTCATACCATAACCCTCTTGAATTTTTTCTTCAGAAGGCTATGACCATACTTGTCCCGTTTTATGTACACACATTCTCGTTGTCAATATAGATTGAACGATTAGGTGATTCTTATGCTTGTTGAATCTACAAATTTCATCAATTTTTCGAACCAACTATTCTACATTCTTGCATGTGAAAAAACAGCTCCTATATACGCTTTGAGAACTCTTCAGCATTTCATGATCAACCATTCAGATTGAACTGTCGTAGCATTGTACTAGATGGGAACTGTAGCTACAGAATGGGAATGTGTCAATTTCAAACCCATGAAATGCTTTCCTACCCTTGCGAAACCTAATTTGGATAAGAAATCAACAACAATATGAGCTTCAACAACAACGATAAAATGGAATTTGAGAGACTACAGGTCTCAGGCCAGATTTTACTGCAAGAAACCATCTTTGATTTATGGAAGTCATCAGAACTAGCTCACTCCTGAGAGCTAAGTCATCAGAGTGAGCTCACTCCCAAGAGCTATTCAAGTTGCTTAAATTACTCTCAAGAGTTGAGTTATTACTTAACCGACTTCCGAGAGCAGATTTAGTTTCTCAACCGATTCCCGAGAGTGGATTAAGCCTGTCAACCACAACATATTAATAATAGCTGCGGTTCTATGTGAGTCACAACCTATGCGCAAAGGCATCAAGTGATCAGCGTGAGTTTAGTTGTAGATAAGTTGAAATAGAAAATCATCGAAGGGTTAAAGTGTTCCGCATAAGGTTTCTCATACTGACCATATGAGTTTTTACCCTGGCCAGCCCAAGCGGCTGAACACTAGCACAAACACCTTAGGTATAAAACCAAAGGTGAGGTCAGAAATAACTACATACATATGCACTTCATTTAAAGTCTACTACATTGTACTCTAACAACTTATCAGGTCACTCTGATCTCGCGCTATCAACTTGCCTACTGTGAACTCTAAGGATATAAAGACCACCACTATTCTCGAATCAAAGGTAGACTGGCTTCCTTGGAAAACCCAGACAATTCTATCCGTGAATTGTGAAGGAATCCCAACAATATTGACCAATCCAACCCAATCTAGAGGCAACCGATGGACACCCAAGGAAATCGTTGAGACATACCGGGTTAGCAACGGCACCCTATCTCCATTGCTGCAAACAGAGATCAGCCAATTCATTGATAAGCCGTGGGAAGCTTTTGCCGCACTGATATCCAGACATTAGAAGGAAAACTGAACCGTATCACGCCAGAACGGAACGAATCTTACGCCAGCCTTATCAGTCGTCTCAACACGGCATTTGTGAAATTCAAAACGCCGGAGGTACGAAGTCTAACAACAACGACGATAATTAGACTGTTAAGATTACGTCGAAGACACCCGCTATGATGGCCATGTCGTACGATGAGCTCACCACGTACCTCATCGCATTGGATCCAGATGAAAGTGACCCATCAACCATTGTGCACGGTGCGCATGCAGCTATATCGACAGGAAATTGTGCATTCTGCAATAATCGTGGGCATTCCATCGGGCAATGCCGTAAGCTACAAGCGCTAATCAAATCATGCGTTGCTGGTAACCCACATAGTCAGGGTCGTGACCACGACGGTCGTAAACGTTACGATCGACGGATTGACAAATCTGGTCCTCGTCATGACATGAGAGACTACAGATTTAAGTCCAAGAACAATGACAAGCATCGCCGACCTGATTCGAATCGTGACTACCGTACTCGTGTGGAAGAGTACAACAGAAACAACTGCTACCAATACCGCTACGATAATCACAATGATCAGGACCGACAGGACTACCGAGTAGATAGGTACAATCGACGTGACTACGACGATGGTAGATATTCACGAGATATCCAACATTCACAAGACATTGACAGAACATATAGATCCCAGAGCAATCAACGCCAAGCTCATGAAGGCAGACAGAACAAAGCGATGTCAGCAAAAGTATCTGATGACCAGTTACCTGCAAACAGACAGATCGCATTCTCAACAATTAACACTACAATCGACAACAAGGAGGTGAATGATCAGTCAGATAGAGATTCCAGAGGTGGATACTGACTAGCTTGCGATAGTTGCGCCACCATACACGTACTTCCCTATAAGTACCACAAACATCATCTCGTCAGCAACATGCGCATTATTGACCGGTATGCGCTCGAAGTAGCTGATGGTACAATCATTTATCCGAAGTATGTGGCTCAGCTAGGAAACTTGGGGGACGTACTCATTGATACGACATTTAAAACTGCAAAACGAAGTATCAGCCTACTCTCAGCGCGACACTACTCATTTGAATTCACCAACAACATGATGCACATATTACTACTAAGCTTCGGAACCATAACAGTACATGAAAAACACAAAATATACTGTGTGCACATCGATGACATAGCTATGACTACAGTGGAACCATCGCTGGAGAAAGCCAATCAAATTTCATGCCGCTCGCACACCCCAGCTACGTCCCAAAAGATTTACCCTACATAAGGCAACCAGAGGAACGATGCAAAGCATGCACTATTGCTAAGAAGAAGAAGAAGAATACAAACAAGGAACGACAGCACGAACCTGCTACAGAGCCTCTCGAGTTTGTCTTCGTGGACATAATAGGACCGTTCGTAACGTCAATAAGATCCAACACCCACTCTGTATCAATCATAGACGATTTTTCTAGCATGGCCAAAGAGTATCCGATCCGCGATCTGAAAGCGACAACAATTTTGGATACTATGTTACACACCTTCGATGAATGGTACATCTTAAGTCATCGCCGAGTTCAGTGCATACAAATGGATCGAGGCTCACAGTTTACAGTAAACGTAACGAGGCGCATGCTTGCGTATTTGGAATACTGCTCGGGGTACGCACCGAGACGATAGTAGATGTAGGATATTATAAACTAAATTTTATAATCTCTGAACTACTACTTACAGGTTTTGGTCTTCCCGCCAATCTCCAAAATCCAATAAGTCTTTTTCTCTTTTTCTTTTTTCTTCAGATGGAACTTTATTTATATTAGCTAATGTATTAACTTGACCTACGTTCTTATGTCTATCTACAAATTAGACATGTGGTCATGAACACTTAGTACTTCTAGTGAAAAATTCAATAAAGAACAGCTAGAGGTACGTCCAATGTGATCGAGGATATTAAGGCTCTTACCAAGAGGCAGTCCCGATCATTCTTACACAAGCTACCACTGCTAAATTCTAACTGACTTAAATTGTATC